TCTGAAAATGATTCGTTTTTTGATCGCCTTCTATAAGCGATTCGTTTTTCTAAAGCCCACCAAATGAATAGCTGAGAAAAACTAATTAGATGTAACGTTGGACACCGACTAACGTCCCCATTGTCAACTCTATTCAAGCTAAATAAATAGAGGAAGGCAATCAATTTCGTTCAATGGCATTCTCATGACCGACATTTCCTCCTACACGACAAGCTTTACAGAAACCCAACTGTTTATTTCAATTCGCCATATTAATTCTGACAAAAACTGTTTCTCTGCAAAACATTTGCGCGAAATCTTCTGATTTGAATTGGTCTCTGAATAAACATTAAAAATCTAAAATAAATATGACACCTCGTGTCATAGTAAGTGTTGTTTTTTTTAATATTTTTTAAAATTTTTCACGAGATTTTTTTCGAGATATTCAGATATTTGGCCCGGCGATATAAAAAAGAGAGGTATCATTACCGATATTTGGTTTCATTTCCAAACCATGTTTGCATTTGCTGGGAAAGTTCAGGTAATACCTATCTTTCTGGAGGGGGTTGCGGTCCCCAAAATGGGGAGTGCAGATGGACTTGAACAATTCTTCCACAGTATTGCCGGTAAACCTCCTTTAAAACTTGAATTTTTCTCTCATTCGGTAGCGACGTGAGCACATTGAAAAATCCCCCGTCGAAATTTCCCGGAGGTATGTGAAGCCTTAGAGACTTACACTCATCATGAAGCGCCAATATAGAGTTGCACAGAATTTATAAATGCATTTAACGTGAATAATAACAGTTCGTAAAGCTGCTATACGAATTTAAAACTAGATACGATTTTCTGATGTTTTTCTAACGGAGAAATCAATAAAAAATTTTGATAATAGTTTGATTATATTGTTGAAGTAGTGCGTAGGAAGAAAATATGTAACTACCGACACAGAGCGTGACACTCTGGACTTATGAATACATGTTTTTCCGCCAGGTGTAATAATAGCGGTGTAGAGCTACGAATTAACCTCACTGGACATATCGTGTGGAACTATCCAGTCGAATTAGTGTGAATTATTTTGCGTCGATGGTTTGGCTTTTGATTTTAGATTTGCCGGACGTTAAGCCGAGCTGCGCTTCTAACAGGATATTCACTGAAATGCTTAAATATTTTTCGTCGACTTTTATTTCTTTGTTCTTGTTAATCATTTCCGCTTGTAATTAAATACTGTTTTATCCTAATGTTGACGTTACACGGCCACCCTATGCCCCAAAAAGTTGATACACACGTTAGAGCGAATCTCGTGAAGGTTGCCAGAAAATAATTAAAAAAATGTAGGAATTAAATCACACACAAACACACACACACACACACACACACACACACACACACACACACATATATATATATATATATATATATATATATATTAATTAAATAATATCAAACACTTAAAATCCAATAGGTAATAATTTTTATTTCATGAGAACTCTAAAAACAGTAGCTCTCAATCTTCAAGTCCTTAGATCTCTGATGAAATAATTATTATTACCTATGGGATTTTAAGTATTTGATATTCTTTAATTAATAATATTTTTTCACTGTCCTTTGACATAGAGCTCTCACTGGATATATATCATACTGAAAATTCCATGCGGATTACCATATTGTATCATTACATATATATATATATATATATATATATATATATATATTCCAACGAATAAAATGCCATTAGAGCCAGTTTGAAATATTATTTTCTAAATTCACACCTTTATGTGAAATTAGATTTTGAATCACCCTTACGAATATGAAAATAGAACCATACTGCTTCTCAGTGTTCAAAAAAATTCGGAAGGCAGTTTGATATACACGTACGTACACTCACACACGCACACAAGAGAAGATGAGAGCCAGGCCTTGTCGACGCACGGACAGACACATTATACTAACAATCATAAAATAAATATATCCACCTATCTCAAACACTCTAAGAACAGTTAATTATTTTAAGACATTTTTATGTTTATACATTCTTTTTATATATAAAATATTTAAGTAAATGCTCTGTTTATAATAAACAGTATTAAACAACATTTACCGACCTGAATGTCCGAGAAATTTTCACAGAAAATATTCGTCCTCCGACAGGTCTTGAACCCGTATCCTGTACGGAACTGTCATTTAGCTTGACGTGCCTTTAACCGATTTGGCCACGTTTGGTTAGCAAGGTCGAATTTACTGTATTTGAACTTCAATCTTCTATGAATCTCTCACGTACATTCATATCTGCTCATGGCGTCTCAAATGTAAACAAATGACGTCACACATTATGAAATGGACAAAGTCCGACAATTATTTTAAGACATTTTTATGTTTATACATTCTTTTTATAGATACGAATATTTAAGTAAATGCTCTGTTTATAATAAACAGTATTATACAACATTTACCTGAGGACGAATATTTTCTGTGAAAAAATTTCTCGGACATTCAGGCCGGTAAATTTTGTTTAATACTATTTATTATAAACAGAGCATTTACTTAAATATTTGTATCTATAAAAAGAATGCATGAACATAAAAATGTCTTAAAACAATAATTACTTAACGAATTAAACTACACTGTTAGTAAGATCTTGTTGCTATTGTGTATTTCTAAAAAGAATATCTAAATGTTATTGAAGTTCTGCTTCTACGTTTGTTTCGGAAAATAATATTATTTATGTTTCATTTAAAACATCTGTTGTTATTTTTGTTATTGTAAAATATTTGGAATTTCAACATTCACAAAAAAACAAAAACCAGAGTAGACGGATCCGAACAATGTAAGGTTTTCAGAACTGGGAAACTCATTATAGTAAAGAATAAAAGAATAGAAATATACACAGACTTCTTCCATTCAGCTCGGTCAAACATAATGATCTTTAGCTTGTTTGTTATCTGCAACTCTGAGTCCTCTAGCAGGTTGTCTACGAATATGAGTCTTTTCCTTCAACCCTTTCTTGTTTGTCTCTCACTTGGCTTCCTGTTGTGGATTCTGGGATGAAATCCGGTACCAATAAATGACAAACGCCAAGAATGAATATAGGAAAATAATGTATTAACGTAATAATACAAACTGGTAAAGCAGGTTAGTAGTTCCAGGAATACGGGTTAGTAGCAAAATATCTATACGGTCTTTGGTATTGAATTATCGCTGTATGATTTCTTACTGAGTCTGCGTGCTCGCTCACGGTGACACTTGATCACTACATTCGTTCGGTCTGTCTGTTACCTTCACCCTTGGTTGCTCTCGTCATCTGTTTCCCCTTGCTCTCGTCTTACTCTCTCGGGTTTTCACGTAGCAGCAGTATATGTATATACTGGTTGAGTCCATTTGTGAAAAAAAGGGGAGGACCCCTCAACACTTCCAGACAACTAATTTGCTAGGAAATTCCTCATCATCCCTGATACGGTATCCTATTCGACACATCCTTCTTTGAGGCACCTTAAACGCTAACTTTAGTATCTCATCATAAATTTGAGCCTGTGAGATGCGACTTCTACGGCACTCAGTAGATTCCTTCCTGAGCATTCTTGAATAGCACCCATCTAGCTGCTTGTTCTAGTCAATGAGATTAAATGGTAAGCTTAGTTAACTGGAACAAAACAACTAAAACAAATTTTAAAATTTACGGCAATTCGCAGATAAAAAATAAGCAATAAGATAGCCTTGATCGCCTACTTACTGATGGGGTATTTTCTTTAAAAACTATACTTCAGGGTGCCGCTGTCGATTCTTACCAATATGTAAATGTGTGTCTGATTTTTTTAAATATATCCTTTCCTAAAAGAATTAATTACTCCTCTCCGGGGCCAACATAGATGATAGTAAAAATGATAAATTAAACAAAAAGACTGAATTCTAAATTTTCTAGATATATAAATAATTTATCAAATTTAAATAAAGTAATAATTACATTATAAACATAGCAATAAAATCATTTAATAACTTTCGTTTATTACGCATAAAAGAACATCAATTAACATAATCCATAGTTTACATTGACTTTTACAGTTTGCCTGAAGTATATGAGTGAGCGTTATTAAATTTGAAATTTTGTAAAATTCACTTTTTTTACTTCAGTTTATAAATAACTGTCGCAAAGTAAATCCTTTCATTTGTCAGGATAAAGTCCATCAGAGGACAAAACACGTTGGTTAAGATATGTTTTTCTTTTGTTTTTATTCAAATTGATTTTACATATATATTTTTACTTATATCTACTTTTATTTATATAAATTTGTATACACACAGACTTACGTATATATATATATATATATATATATATATGTGTGTGTGTGTGTGTGTGTGTGTGTGTGTGTGTGTTTTGGGACTCATCAGCAGCGCGCATCCACTATTGAGATTACAACACAGCTTTTTCGATACAACGCAAGCGTCATATCAACTGTACGAACGGGCCTCAGTGACAAAGAAACACTGAATAGACTCGATATAGCGCCGCCAGTAACAGATTCCGTGGTGATACTCAAGTATACATAAACCATGCCTCAAAAGCCATGTCTTTCTTTTTCCCGAACCGCTCCATCGAAGAGCATTAGTTGGGTCAAGCAAGTAATAGAATTTGGGGAATTAGTCAAATCATTATAGTAATTTATCGAGTCTAGAACTATATATATATATATATATATATATATATATATATATATATATATATATATATGCGTATTCTTTGTGTATTTTACAGTTGGTGATACTGGTAGCAAAATTGACCTTTTATAGGTTATTAGGAATCTTATCTGGGTTTACACAATGTTTGGTCCGAGTGAAGGATACGGAGTTTGTTGGCATCGAAACAATCTCTGGCAATAGCGGTGGTTTTGATTAAAAGAGGTCGATACACTTCCTCTACTTACCAAACACGCCTCTGGGATTTGGCCAGATTTTGGTTTTCTCGAAAGGAATATAGAATTCTTTCTGGAATTGCATGGCTTTTTAAAAGCTTAAGAAAAGATTTAGATTTAGAAGACCTGTGACTGATAGATAGATAGATAGATAGATAGATAGATAGATAGATAGATAGATAGATCCTGACAGTGGATAGTTGATGTATCGGCTCACAGAACAATTCCTCATAGCAGTGAGTTCGCGTCACTGTGGGTTTCAAACTACCTACTGTAAGCTGTACCAAAGAAAAGTATATATATATATATATATATATATATATATATATATATATATATATATATATATATATATATATATATATATATGTAAAGAAGCCGATTAAACTGTGGTTTGTCTCAAAACATAATATTAATTTCTATGCCCGCGCTACCTCGTTCTCTCCTCATCTATCTATCTATCTATCTATCTATCTATATATATATATATATATATATATATATATATATATATATATATATATATATATATATATATATATATATATATATATATAGACAATTAATAATAATAATAAATTCATAAGCTAAATTTTATTGAATTAGTTTATTTATATCAACATATGTTCAGAGTTTCATCGATTATATATGTGTATGTGTGTGTGAGCGTGTGTATGAATATGTTCATAAATACATGAATACATGCATGTAAGTAGGATATTGGATATTATATAGCTTTTAATGCAAAAATATATATATATATATATATATATATATATATATATATATCTGTATGTATATTTGTATGTATATATATATATATTTATATATTATTATTATTATTATTATTATTAAATAAATAAATTCTCCATCGTGCCGTTTATCAGAAGGTGGTGTTCAGGCATAGATTCTGAATGCTACTTTTCATTTCATGCATGCAATATGTCAAAGGCTCAGAGCAATCACTCTCATTTCTTCTATTCAATTTTAGTTTATATTTTGTTTTCAAATCTACGTCCATCTATCTCCATACGCGAGGACTACAGGATAATTAAGAAGTACCTCCCCATTTTAAAATACTTATCATTTATTTATTAAATATAATTTTTATAAGAAAACGAAAGAGAGGAAAGTGTTTAGCATGTAATTTTATTTAAAATTCGAGATGGTCACCAGATTTTGCTAACAAATTCTTGAGCCGCTCAGAAATCGCGTGAATTGATTTCACCAGGAACTCTTGTGGTGTGGAAGACATGACTTCTTGTATTCGCTCTTTAAGTTCTTCCTGAGTTTTCGTTTGTTATAGAAGACTTATTTCTTTAACCAACCCCAAAGGAAAAGGTCATAGACAGTCAAGTCAGGAGTCCTGGTTCGCTGAGCATACATAAAATAGGGTGTTACTTTTCAATCACCCTGTATATTATACGCAGAGCCCGACTCTTTCTCTGTACAGTGAAAGAAGAGAAACACTGGTGTTTAAACAATGGCCGATGATCATTTCTGTAATTAATGTTGAACCAGTTTCTATCTGCCTTTCTGGTTACACGTAGAAATCAGAGTAAAATTTCTGATTTCTTTAAGAAGTAGAGGATTCATTGGCTGGAAGTCATTTTTGATCATTAAATTGAGAAAACGGTTGTTTATAACTAATAAGGGAGACTTTTTTTGAATGAGTTTGACACCATTCATATCAGCCATATCTAGTTAGTTTCTTTGTTTTGTTTTACGGCATATCAATCTCAATGTGTCATTTACTGACGACAGCTTTCTTTTTTTTCCCTGGTAATATTTTTGTTTTGTCAAAAATCCATTTCTGTTAATATTTTTTTTTCAAAAATGTATAGCTGGTAATATTATTTTTTCATGAACGTATAGCTGGCAATATAATTTTTACAAAAAACGTATAGCTGGTAATATTATTTTTTTCAAAAACGTATAGATGGTAATATTATTTTTTCAAAACGTATAATTGGTAATATTCTTTTTTTCAAAAATTTATAGCTGGTAATATTATTGTTCCAAAAACGTATTATCAGTGGCCTTGCTGTTGGACGTAGTTTATAGTCTTACCCAGGACGCGGATGTAGCCTATCGTCATACCCAGGACGCGGATGTAGTTTATCGTCATACCCACGGCGTGGATGTAGTTTATTGTCATACACAGGACGGGGATGTAGTTTATCGTCATACACATGACGCGGATGTAGTTTATTGTCATACCCAGGACGAGATCTGGCTTTGGCGGTTAACTATTTGCCCGTAGCTGGGACCCTAACAGGGGCTACAACCCCGACTAGACCTGGGAACACCAGCAATTAAGAGGTGGTACCACGATCCTCAAAACCTCCAGATAGGAGGCCTTGCTGCTGGACGTAATTTATCGTTTTACCCAGGACGCGAATGTAGTTTATCGTCATACCCAGAACGATATTCATTCTGTTTATTAAATTTACATATGAAAATTTAATTGTATGTGTACTTACAATAGATGCCAGTGTTTGCCTAATTATATATACAATAGGAATGATAATAACTTAGCTGCCAACACCCATAGAATTTCCACAGAATAATAATAATAATAATATCTGACTCATTTTATTCGCTTTTCTCTGACTGTACAAAGATGGAATTTTAAGGATTTCAAGTTTTTATTTGTATATTTTTTTCAATAATTTGCTGTGAAACTTAGTTTTTACACTTTCGTAGTGCTTTAACTCCAGTTTAGGCGTTAACTATTTACCCATAGCTGGGACACCAACAGGTGCTACTACCCCGGGTCAGAGTTGACCTGGAGACACCAGCAATTAAAGAGGTGTTTCCACGCACAAGACCTGATCAGAGGCCTTGCTGTTGGACGTAGTTTATCGTCTTACCCAGGACGTGGATGTAGTTTATTGTCATACCCAGGACGAGATCTGAGTTTTTTTTTTTTTTGGGGGGGGGGGTATTTGCCTATGGCTAGGACCCTAACAGGTGCTACCACCCCGGGTCAGTTGAGACCTGGGAACACCAGCAATTAAGTAGTGGTTCCACTCTCCTCAAAACCTCCTGATCAGAGGTCTTGTTGCTGGACGTAGTTTATCGTCTTACCCAGGGCGCGGATGCAGTTTATCGTCATACCCAGGACAATCCATATCTAGATCTGTCTATAAGATAAGGACATTTTAGTAAACAGTGAAACTGAAATAAAACGGCATAATGAATAGAAATAAATCTGTTTCTTCACAAGGCTAAGGCACATGATTTAATGCGCGGGTAGGGATGTGCTTCGTGTAGATAAACTATGTATCCGTGAAGCCTACTTGAGTAGAAATTCGTTATCACAGTTCGTGTTGTTGTTTTGTGTTTTCTTAATCCCAGGTTGAAGAACTGAGAACTATGATGATAAGACGCGACTATTTATCCCGCCAGACAACCGCCAGTCGTGTCTTTAATAAAACAGAAATAATAAGCCTAAGTATTTAAAAGTCCTCAGGTACATTCCTTCCAGGCATTTAAGATTTTGGCCAATTCTCATGGTCAGTGTCCAGGAATTAATGACTTACTCCATTTCGAATTGAAAGACGATAATCGGAAGTTGGCCTTGTGTTTGCTGGGACGAAAGGAAATGTGTTTGTTGAAATTAGTTTTCGAATTTCTAAGTCTGATAATGTTTGCAAAAGATTGTTCAGACAGAAATAGATTAAGTTGTTTGAAAAGAAACACTGTTCATATGTCGTAAAATTTAAATTATCTGTCAAGAATAAAATCAGTTTTAGTTGTGAAATCAAAAGCCGACTGTGGAACTATTTTCTTTTTTTATTCCTTGTGGAAGGAAATATATGTATTGATCTATATAAAGCTTTAAAGCTTTATATAGATCAATACATATATTTCCTTCCACAAGGAATAAAAAAAGAAAATAGTACACCACCTTAGAAATCGTTCCACAGAGAAGAAAAAAGATGGAGGCAAATAAATCAAGGAAATAGAGATGATTATAGCTGATGTCATTTCGATTGAACTTGTTTTACTTATTTTGAAGTTAAGGTTGAATAGCAAATTTTCCCTTAACCAAATGCGTCTATTCTTTGCTGAAATTTCAAAGAAAAACGTAAGACAATTATAATATAAAACACTCATATAAACACACCCATATTAACAAAATGCTGATACGTTTCTTGCGGACCTTGACACCCCTCCCCAATAAAATTATTATGTATTACGAAATTTTTGACAGTTCTGTTATATAAAATAATTAATTTAACGTTCGTAGACAATAAGAAATATGGCTGAGACGATTAACTACATCCACGTCATGGGGTGGACGATGAACTGCATCCGACAGCAGGGCCTTTGATCGGGAGGTTTTGAGGTGCATAGACGCGCCTCTTGATTGCCAGTGTTCCTAGGTCTACTTTGACCCGGGGTGGCGGCACCTGTTGGAGTCCTAGCTGGGACAATAGTTGGCACCCAAGTTGGGATCGGAGCATTATGAAAATGTAAGAATATGTTTTGATATCAGGATTACTCTTTTGTAAATAAAAACTTATAGCAAGCAATGACTTTTCGAAAGAAAAAAAAAATATTAACAGCAATACATTTTTGAAGAAAAATAATATTACCAGCAATACATTTTTCGGTGGAAAAATATTAGCTGCCATAACAATGTTGTCGGCATTAAATGACCCATTGAGGTTGAAAGAAACCAAACAAAACCGTTCTAAAATTTAAAGTTCACCACCTTAGAAATCGTTCCACAGTGAAAAAAAAATGGAAGTAAGTAATCACGGCAATAGAGAGAAATATAGCGGATCACATTTCAACTGAATTTGTTTTACATATTGTGAAGCATTCTGAAGAATAGCACATTTTCACTTTTACATATTGTGAAGCATTCTGAAGAATAGCACATCTTCCCTTAAATCCGTCTATTCTTTGCTGAAATTCAAAGAAAAACGTAAGACTTTTATAATATATATATATAGAGAGAGAGATAGATAGATAGATAGATAGATAGATAGATAGATAGATATGAAAGATGGCGCAGAGAAACAGGAAGGAAAATGTTGCAGAATATCTATAGAATTATTCTTCCTTTCTTCATGGAAACATCCGAAGCCGAAACGGTGAAGTTAATGTTTAACAAAGACGTGCCCCTGAGATATGCTCGGTGAATTCAGGTTTCGACGGAAGATACTATTTTCTTTTCGATTTCGCGCCATCAAGTCTAACGGTGAAGATAAACTCCAGCAATAAAAGAATCGACTATGTATAAAATAATATTTCCGTTGAATACATCAAAATTATGACTGAATAAAGCAATACAATAATATTGGTTGGATTTCTACGTCTAGATTTATTTCACTTGATTTACTCGGGATTAGTGTAAGTGAAGTTTGTAGCAGGAAAACTAAAGTTGAATATGTTGTGTTAATCATTTTGCGGACACTGTCGAAATAGCACGCGTCCTGGTATGACGATAAACGACATCCGCGTGCTGGGTAAGACGATAAGCGACATTCGCGTTCTGAATATGACGATAAACTACATCCAACAGCAAGGCCTCTGATCTAGGAGGTTTTGAAGAACGTGGAACCAGCTCTTAATTGCTGGTGTTCCAGGTTCACCCAGACCCGCGGTCGTAGCAACTGTTAGGGCCCCAGCTATGGGTAAACAGTTACCAGCCAAATTTGGGGTTAAATAATTATGAAACTGTAAAAATATGTTTTAATACCAGAAATACTTTTTGTAAAAAAAAATATTACCAGTAATATATTTCTGAAAAACATATTACAAGCAATAAAATTTTTTGTCTGCATTAAATAACACATTGAGGTTGATATGCCGTAAAACAAACCAAACCAAACCAAACGATAAAACAAAGCAAACAAATGAAAATGGCTATTGTATCTTCTCTCAAAACACTAGGACTCTACCCAAAATTTGAAACCAAATGAGAATACAGCATCAATTTCTGTACAAACCGTGTACCTGAAAAGAATACATCAATGAAAGCGGACTCTCGACAACAACCCTGTTTACAAAATTAGATCAATGAAACTGGATCGACACACAGTTTGCTTATAAAAATATATATTCTATTTGTATGAAACTATTATAAAAATCTTGTCGGCATTAAATAACCCGTTCAGGTTGATATGCCTTAAAAAAAAAAAAAACGAACCAAGCCAAAATCGAAATATCACGAGACAATTTTTTTTTGTCCTGGGATTTATTTTATCATTAGATCTGCTAGGAATTCAGGGCAATTTGTAGATGTGTTTAGTGAAAGGAAATACATGTTACCTTGAAGCAGTTTACAAGATAACTCAGTAAAAACGTTTCTGTGTCCTACGCTCTTATCTGCCAAATAGATATTGGTATTTTCTTGACAGAAAAAACAAGTTACTGCAGCGTTTGAGAAGATATCTAGCCTATATGACGTCACACGAAAATAGTCCTGTCAGAGAAGATTTATAGTGGCGTCGGTCTTCAAGGTAAAAATTAACAATTGATTTGCCCACGTGTAGAAGATTAAGAGTGGATGATAAGACGAGGAAAAATTCGGGTAATTTTAACAAAATAAGATAAGGAATTTATTTGTGAATTTGCACGCCCCTTTCCGGAAAATAAATCAGATATTTTTAAAGTCTTTAGTTTTAACGAATTGCATGCAGAGGAAAGGTTCATACAACAGCGTAAATGATCAGACACAAGAGATTTTTAAAACAAAGGCTAACGAGTTCGTTGCTCACAGGAGTGTTGTGAGGTTGCATAGATCCTCATTTTTGTCGCCATATTTATTACAACGTTTCCGCCATTGTACGCTCCGGTCTTCTTCGGGTGGTTGGAATGTCGAACTGAACACTTTATTTCGCTCAATGGGGTAGACTGTTCAAGTTCCAGTTAAATGTCAGTTATCTCCTGTTTAATGTCAGTTATCTCCTGTTAATATCCCTCTTAAATATCACCACTGCCTGAACTCACACTCTTTGGGTCCTGTCACTGGATCTAACCAACGCCTTTATTCACTGTGCCATGTGTCATTGAGGACATCTGTGTATGAATTTCTGGGTATTATAAACCTAATGTCTTCAGCAACCATTTTTACCAGTAATCATATTGCAGTTTTTGCTGTTATCATTTTACCAGAGCTCATATTGCAACTTTTGTTGTTATTATCGCTTTTCTCTGGCACTCCATATTGTATTCATTTCTACGCTTGGTCGGCTCAGGAGATTTTTGTGGCCTCGTGTATGTGCTGATTACTTAAGTTTACGAATTTTGCTATGGTGTTCATTGTCTATGATCTCAACCTGACCCCACAGAGAGCGGTGATCTCCCTTCTCTCTCCATATGTGGTCAGCCACGCCTGATTTTCTACTTCCCTTGGTGTTACAGCTTTCTGGTGTTCTTGAAGCCGTACCTTAAGGGGGAACGGTGGAGTAATGGATAGCGGCTTGGATTGAGGAATCGCAGAGCCGAGTTCGAATTCCAGTCGAAACCATTACATTCACTTACGCGCTAATACCCTTGGTATAAAGATATTAATCCTTTTCTTCTCCCTCCAGTTATGGGTAAATAGCAGGACAGACTGGGTTCTATAGCCTTGGATGGCAACTGGTCTAGGAGAAGGAACACTCTGAATTCAAACCTGCGGAGGGTCGTTTGGGCACCTTGTGGCACGTTGTGCACCAGGTCTCTGTAATCGGCCCTTTAAAAAGTGTGGATGGTCCTGCATGAAACCTTCACCACTATAATCAAATCTCATGTGCTGTTGTCGGGCTGTCTGTTTCCTGGGAACTGATCTGAAGTCTATACATGCGGGTTTGGGGACCGCTTGTGAATTCCAAATCCCATGAAACTCCAATATTAGAACCGGCTCAACCCACTCCGGGTGAATGCTTACGGTCAAATCACGCTGAAAACACCGGTTCTCGTTCGATCATCGAAGTTAAGCATCGTAGAGCCAGGTCAGTACTTAGATGGGGGACCGCTTGGGAACACCTGGTACTGTAAGCCCCCAAAGTCCAACCATTACCTCACAGTCGGTGGTGGTGGGGGGTTGTAAACGGTAGTGTCAGAGCTATGCCGCCCGGAACTTCGTTCCTGGTAGGGCCACCCAAGGCGGACAGGTCTGACACATACGCCGGCTAACAAGGGCTCTGATGAAAATCCAAGGAGCGTCTGCATCGTTAACCGGCGGCTTCTGGTCGTTCCTGTCTCTGCGTCTATGGGAACCCCGCGGCAAGCAAGAACGTTATTCGAGTAGGCCTGGGTACCCTACTTCTGTAATTTATCCCAAGAATCTTCTTCTCATAACAGGAAGAAGCCGGCTCAATCCGCCCAGGGTGAATGCCACATCAGTACAGTACAGTAGTAGTACTCCGGGTGAATGCCGTTACAAGTACAAGTACCTTAAGGAGGTCTTTCCTTTATATTTCTTTCCGCAGCTGCACGGGATAGCGTACACACAGTCTTTAGTCATGTTCTACTCTCTGGCGACAAAGATGAGGACAATAGTCCGAATAATGTAAATAATGTACATAATACCTCGTCTCAGAAATATAGACAGGCACTATGTTCCTGTACCAAAACTCTTGTGATTTTATGCGGATCCAATCTTTTAAACTACAGCTTGTATGTACAAACCTTCACTGCATATGTACACATCACACTAATGTTTTCAATAAAACTAACGTTTAGAAGTCATAGAGCGAGACTATATGTTGCTTTATAGTAAGTTTGAAATACACTACAAACGGCACATAGTCGGATAAAAGAGACGAAACAGTCTTTTTTACTATTCCTAGATACGCTTGTACTATTCCTCTTATTTAAGCAATAGTTGTTTGGTGCATATTCAAAGGGGTGGGGATTTCGTAATCTATATCCGGAAATCCGCTAGCAAAAAAGAAAAAAAATGGCGGAATGACGAAAATATAATACGATCTAGATATCTTCCATAGATGATTATTGACACATTCTTCTTTATGACCCCTCAGGGGTAGATGACAATAGCTCTTCTCAATTTTCTGTCCCTTGTAGCTCTGAATAAACTGCATTTCTGTTATTTCTCCTAAGCCCTGTCTTCCGATCCATTTCCTCGAGCTCACTATATATGTTATGTGTCGTTTTCCTCTGTCCACCTTGCCCCCTCTCCGTCCCGTGAGTATCAGATTTACCAAGTCCTTTTTTCTCATGCGCCCCAGAAACCACAACTGCTTCTTTCTTATGTAAAGTATTAGTTTCCTTTTTGCTTCTCTTACTTTTTAAAAAATTCGCTGTTGTGTAAATGTTTGTTTCATAGCTATCCTCAGCATCCTTCTGTAGACCACATTTCTGTTGATTCAAGTTTCTGGTTCTTCTTCAGTACTATTTTCCTCGTTTCTTACGAAGTTTTCTTATTTCTTAGAACTCTGCTTACCTTCTGGAATGTTTCCTTGGCTATCCCAATACACCTTCGGATTTCAGTGTCACAATTCCCGTTCTCTGTTAAAACACTTCCCAGAAATGTAAATTTCCACACTTGTTTGATTTTGTATTTACGACTTGCATTTTGTACTTTGGATCTATCCTTTTGCTAACAACCATGCATTCTGTTTTCAATCTGTTAATATTTAATTCTTTTTCTCAATTTCCTCTGTAGGAGTTTTTTTTTTTTAGATTTCTTTCTGTGTCAGCTGTTAATACTGTGGCATATGCGTACTTTATATTGTTAAGATCGTAGCTGTCAATAAGGAATTCTAGTAGGATATCTGATATTTTCGCTCTATAGGTTGAATGAATCCGCTGAAAAGACACGTCCTTGTCTTACAACCCTTTTTTTATTTTTATATATCTGCTGAACTCATTTTCTATCCGTTCGCAGACTGTTTGCTGCCAGTATAGGTTCTTGATTATTCAAATATCCTTCATAAATATATCAAAGATGCAGAGCAGTTCCAGTAGATCTTTGTAGCGTATTTTATCGAACGCCTTTGCATAATCTATAAAACACAGGTATACGTTCTTTTGCATCTTTATTGCTCTTTCTGATAACATTTGAGCATAAATATCGCGTTCCTTGTTACAGTGTCTTTGATGAAAGCTCACTGTTTTTGTCCTATTTTCTGTCTGCTTCTGCTTCGTAATCTATTCATCAGCATTCGAATACGTTTTGTTATATGGCTCATTAAGCTGATTGTCCGATGGAATTCGTTTGCCTCGTGCCTCTTAAGCAGTGCTATGAAAATAAGTCTACTTAGGTCTTCCGGTATATCACCACTGTTGTAGATTTAATTTATTATTTCTGTGATGTCTATGCCGAAATCGTCTGAAGCCTCCAGCATCTCTATTAAAATTCCGTCTGGCCCTGCCGCTTTCTTTCTATTCAATTTGGCCAGTGTGGATTCCATTTCAGATTTCAAATTTTCCGGTCCGTCTGCGTATTGCCAGTTGTTCTCTTTCATTATGGAAGGCTTATGCCGTATTCTCGTTTCATCCGTGAAATATTTGTTTATTTTTTAATATCAACGTTCCGTCGTTAGATTTAATTCCTCCTCTTGATGAGCATGTCTTTTACTTACCTTATTTTAATTATGCATGTCTCTTATTTGTGTTACTCATTCTTTCTATTTCGGCACATTTTTCGTTGAGTCATCGTTTTTGTAAAAAAAAAAAAAAAAAAAAGAACCCTCTGATAGCCATTCGAACAATTCCTGCAATTGTATATCGTCTTGGACTATCGTGTCAGATAACGTATTTTCAAAATGTCTGACGAATGATATACCAGGATTGAACACTGTTACTTCGTTTAGTTTTTTTTCTTTCTTTTAGCATCTTTTCTGTCCTCCCCTTGCTTTGGAAATCTGATTTGTTTGTTTTGTTTTGTTTTATGACATATCAACCTCAATGGCTTATTTAATGCGAACAAATTTTTTTTATTGCTGGTAATAGTTTTTTTTTCCAAACATATATTCCAGCTAATACATTTTTTTCTTCAAAAATCTATTGCTGGGAATATTTTTTCAGAAAATGTATAGCTGGTAATAATTTTTTACAAAGAAGTATTTCTGGTATTAGAACTTATTTTTAGAATTTCATAGTGTTTTGATCCCAGTTTAGGGCATAACTAATTGTCTATAGCTGCAACCCTAACAGGTGCTACCACTCCGGGTCAGGGTGGACCTGGGAACACCAGCAATTAAGACGTGGTTCCATGCTACTCAAAGCCACCTGATCAGTGACCTTGTAATTTATCATCTTACCCAGGAGGCGGATGTAATTTATCGTCATACCCAGGACGCGGATGTAATTTATACCCAGGATGTTTGGACATCTGAGATAGCCGTATTCCTTTATTGTTAATGTATTGTTAATATTTGTGACTCCAAACCATACGACCCTCTGTCTTCCTCAATAGTAGCACCACTAAAAATGTGGATGTATTCTACTTTAAATAAAAGAAATTAAATAAAAAACAAGAAACAACACAACATTTCACGGTTGTAAATTCTAATCTGATCCATATTTTTTAATGTTATTCTAAATACTATTCCATCATAAGATGTTTGAAATTCCCAAAAATACAAAAGCATATTCGTGAATGAATTGTGTTCGCTTCTAAATATTGAACATAACTTCACTTTGAAATAAAGGCACACACACACAACCAATCTATCTATCTATCTATCTATCTATCTATCTATATATATATATATATATATATAATATTATAAATTAACTGATGGAACATTTGTTTTTTTAGCTACACAGTAATAACCATGTTTCAAAAATGGAAGCTAAAAACTTTGAATTTAATTATATAATTAAATTAAAAGCATTAGTTCCGTTTCATCTTCAAGCGAATATTGGAATAACTTATTTTTTAAATTTACTGAGTTTTAAACACACAAATAAATTCATAATTTGCTGTTTCCAACAATACATAGAAATCCAATCATTCCGGGGCTGTAGCGTGTTCATTTTTATTAACTATTGTTGCATCAATTATGATCTGCGTTCGAAAAAAGAGGTAAAGTTTAGGGGGAGTAGAGGGGTATTTTTTAATGAATTCTAACATCCGTTAAATGCATGTCGTCTGTTTTTTTGTTTTTTTTTATTAACGGCAAAATTTTTTCGGCATTTTTTTCTTACTCGTGTACTTAAATTTTTTACGTTTTATTTAACTGAAATTTTAAATATTTTTTTACTCTTAAGCCAACATGGCCACTGATGAATTCCTATCTTTTCCAAGTGTGTTATCAGTAAGTGAAAGTGCGGAAATTTATGATCAGAAATCGAACGTGACTCGCCGATTCAACTTAACGCATCGATAACCGATACTCTGATTATACGTTCTGTTTCGCGGTTACATTGAGGCCCAGTCTAAGTCACATAAGACAAAGTGTTGTATGATTTTGGTTAATCAGTGTATATATTGTAAATTAGGATTAAAAGAGCCTATTATAAATAGGTTTAAACAGAAATATGTTTTCATTATTGAGTTAAAATAATAAATACGTATTTGTTGTTCTAAAATAAGAAAGATAGCATCCCAATTTTCATTTTAAATCCAAGAATAATAATTGTAACAATTATTGTCGATAAATTTATGTTTATCAGTAACCACATTTTTTACCTGGCGAAAAAATATGAAAAGACCGACATATAAAAGAGATAATCGGATGGATTTAAAAAGTTATATATATATATATATATATATATATATATATATATATATATATATATATATATATATATATATATGTGTACATGTATATGTGTGTGTATACACACCTACACAATAAAATGACTATGTAATCATGAATTCTTCATAGTTCTCCTATAAAAAATAATTAAAGAGGTATACCTCTGTAAACAGTAATATATATATATATATATATATATATATATATATATATATATATATATATATATAGATAGATAGATAGATAGAGATATATGAACAGATTGAGATAGATAGATAGATAGATAGATAGATATGCATATATATATATATATATATATATATATATATGTGTGTGTAGTAAAATAGTATATATAAATTAATATAATAATATATAACATTTATATGAAATAATTATATATAATAATATAATATAATAAAATAATTAATTTAACGAGGTATACCTCCGTAAACAACGATAAATATTTATTACATTGTCTACAGAATTATACCTCGTTAAATTAACTATTTTACATAGAAAAACTGTCAAGAATTCAGGAATACATATTAATTTTATGGGTAGCGGTGTCAAAATTCGCAATGAACGTATCAGAATTCGTTAATTCTTCAGGAACATGCGACATGTTTACATGAGAATGTTTCACTTAGTATTTGTTGGTGAGCCGACGTATCGTACCAGTGATGAGAGCTTTCGTCGAGTTTGCAGGGTTTTCTCGATTTATTCTTTTCCAAAGTGAGTTAATACAACATAAAGCTCAGCAGTCTAGTCTGACTTTCATAGGCGCAATAAAACGTATTTGTAAACGTGTCTCCAGTAAATCATACGACTTCGAAAGTACTCATAAGAATACACACGGAGAATACATTAAGAGACAATTTTCTTCAATACATCGTCCGTCTGTCCATTCATATATATCATTAGCTACTTATTCGTTTGCCCACGCAGAAAGGATGGTCGCTGAGAAGTAGATGGAGAACATGAACAAGAAGACGAAGAAAATGATTGAGATAAATAGGAAGAAGTAAAGAAAGAAAGATAGAAAGAAAGAGATAGATGAAAATAAAGAAAGGAAGAATAAAAGATTGAAAGAAAGAAAGATACAAAATATAGAAAGAGAGAAGCTGATTGAGATAAAAAGAAATGGAAAGAAAGAAGAAGAAGAAAAAGAAGAAGAGAATATTTAAGATAGATATAAATAAATAAGGAAAGACATAAAATGAACAGTTTGTGATAGATTGAAATGTTCATATTCTTCTTCACCTTTTTTCTTTCTTTCTTTCTTTCTTTCTTTCTTTCTTTCTTTCTTTCTATATCTGAGATAGCGAAGTAGATAAAAAAAGATATAAAGGAAGAAATAGATTGAGGTTGATAGATAGAAATAGGAAGAAAAGAGGATTTTTTTTAAAAAGGACAAGAAAAAATGATTGAGATAAATAGAACGATAGATAAATAGATAAGAATAGATAGATAGATAAGAATAGATAGATAGATAGATAGATAGATAGATAGATAGATAGATAGATAATGAACAGATTGAGATAGACAGAAATAGAAAGAAAGAAATAAAAAAGAAAGAATGAAGGAAAAGAAGAAAATCATTGAGATAAATAGAAAGAAAGGATAGATAGATAGATAGATAGATAGATAGATAGATAGATAGATAGATAGATAGATAGATTGAAAGAAAGAAAGAAAGAAAGAAAGAAAGAAAGAAAGAACAGATTGGGATAGATATAGAAAGTAGAAGCAGAAAATGATTGTGATAGATAAAGATAGAAAGAAAAAAGAAATAAATAATAATAATAATAATAATAATAATAATAATAATAATAAGAAGAAGAAGAAGAAGAAGAAGAAGAGTGCAGGGTAGATATCGGGGAACGTGAACGAAATGGACAAACTACTGGCTGGCACCAGACGATCAAGATGTAAAGAAAAACATAAAGTAAAAAGAGGAGAGAAGTAGTCGATGTCACGCAAGACATAAGACAGAAAAGACGAATTTCGCGCAAAACCAGCCATAATTCACTTTGTTTGCATCTACTTTCATTATTTACGCCGCCATTCTTATGTCCAACCCTGAAAACAAAGTGTGATGACTTTATCTGTGTTGGCATGAAGTTTTCGCGCAAGTAGCGAGGTAATATCGACAAAGAAATCGGAAGGAATTATTTATGCTGCCGGCCGCTTTGTGTTTGTTGCTGTTTGCCTTGCGATTCGCTTTTCGTCTTCTGTTTATCGATGTTAGTGAAATGAAATGTAAGTAGTTCTCTCTGGAGACGCATCTATATTTCGCAACAAGTTAGTGTTTTCTTAATCGTAGGTCGACTTGTTAACGCTACCCTCCGAGCTCTTGAATCGATGTGTTAACTGAACAAACAGTTAAACGAGAATATACTGTTTTTGTTTATCTTTTTCTTCTAAGATGTGAAAGTTGGTATATCAGTTGCCAGCCGGTTCGAATAACGGTGAATATTATCCTAACATTGTTCTGCTACATATTAAGGATCTGAGGAGTTATATTCTAAAATAATTAGTAAATATCTATGCAGATATTTACACTATATACTTTGGTTTGATTATTGTCCCCATCTTTGCAACAATTCGGCTGTTGTACATCCTGATCTTCTTCAGGTGAGATTAGTTGGAATTTCGAAAACGAAAGATTTATTTAGATACTGGTTGTCTCAGTTTCAATTAATTCCTCTTGGTAACTCAATTCTCCAAGATTTTTGTTCGCCCTGCTTAGTCACATCGCTTTGGGTTAAGTCTCTTTTTGGATAACTCAACAAACGCTTTTATCCACTGGGTCACGTGTCCTTGGGGACTTCACTACGTGAAGTTTTGGAACATATAAACTTAATGTCTCAGTAAATATTTTTTTTGCGAGAGCTCTTATTACACATTTTGTTATTGTTTTTCCCTAATGCCCTGTATTATTGGTTCCCATATTGTATTCATGTCTATACTTGGCCGGCTTAGCAGATTCCTTAAGTTTTCTATTTATGTTCTCTGTCTATATATTAAACTTCACTGCATACAGTGCGATGATTTAGGGTAAATTGTCGCCATTTTATATTTTTAATTTCGCGCATGCGCATTGATCGTTTTTTCTTTTGTCGACTGTACAGTATAGTAGCGTTTGTTGGACACAATGTGTAAGAAAAAGAGAAAAATGACGCAATTCCTTCCGCAGGAAGTTTGAAAACGGCGTACTGTAATGCTTGACATCCGCACCGGAAGGCGTTAAACGGACATTTCATTGTGTTTGGATGTCAGTGCAGAGGATTCGGTAAGAGTTGGATGAGTTTAATAGTGATCATTAGTGATGACAACATTATGCCTCCATTCGTCTTCCCACAGCGCTACAAACTCAACACGGAGCCTTACATTAAGTGCCTTCAGGAGCCTGGAAGTTACTGTGTCTGGCAACATGACTCTTCACCATGTTACACAAGCAGGAGAACTAAGTCATGGCTGTCATACAATTTCTGCAACCACATCATGTCTTACATCTGACCCCCTAACTCTCAAGCCTGCAATCGTTTTGATTATTATGTGTGGGGCCCAGTTGAGCGAGAAAGAAAACTACTTGTAACGCCAAAGATGAACGGAAGGCAAGGATTTTGCCAGCATTCACCAACATAAACAAGGAGAACGTCCAGAAGAGTTGCCGGAAATTTCAAAATCGTCTGGAGGTCGTGGTTGAAGTCATTAGCGATTTTATTGAATTAATTTATTTTTTTCTATTTCAAGATATTTTTGTGTAATTTTGTTAAAATTATCTCTTAAAATTAGAAACCAGTGTTATTTTCATTTTTATGTAATTTAGGCGACAGTTTATTCATCGCACCTTGTATAGTCAGCCATGCCTGTTTTTCTATTACCTCTCGTATTACGGACTTACGGCATTCCTGTTATCTTATTTTAAAGGGGCGCTTTGTTTCTCCTTTATATATCATGCCACAGCTTCACGGGATGGCATATACACAGTTCTTTATCCTGTTCTCCTCTATGGGTTGTCTTACTCCGAAGAGATGTCTGAAGATATGTCTGCGCTGTGTTACCTCTTCTCAAACATATAGACAGATCAATGCAGATGATACCACTGTTTATGTGTGTACCTCCAAAAATGAGAGGATGAGAGCCTATCTCCCCTCTAATATAGCTCTAACAGTTCATCGAGGGAAAGCTGACTTGGAGCATTCAATAATTCCGTACTTGAATCATTACCAAGCCGACTTGGTCACCGACTTATTACGCTTGTATCGATTACGAGTGAGTAGAGTGTTTGATACTCACTGTGTGCTCCATACTTTTGGCTTTGTGCTAAATCTAACCTACGCTTAGCAAATAAGGCCCCTTAGACGGGGGATAATGGCTAGCAAACTTTTCTTGTTAGATAGATTACTATTAAGTAGTGAGTTCGATCCTCACTGGGTGCTATATACGTTTTGATTTTGCCGCATCTAAACTACGCTTAGTAAATAAGAGGCTTTCAGTGGGTGTAATGGTTAGCAAGCTTGTCTAGCTAGATCGATTACGACTGTGTAGCGAGTTTGAACCTTAGTGGGTTCTCCTTATTTTCGGCCTTGTGCCACATAAAACCCACTCTTAGAAAATCATCATCAACGGGGCGGCTTTGAAATTCTCTTCAGCTGTTATGTGTGGTTTTATTTACAATGCAGATCTTTGAGACGTTTCAGTCTGATGGAACTAATATGCGCGATCCATAGCTAAAGATTTTTTTTTTATATAGATAGTCGGTTCCTTATACCGTTCCTGAAATTATATGTCTCCTTCTGCCACATTCCTTGTTTACAAGAGTCGGGCCAAAAATGACAAACTGCTACTTTCCAGAAATGACTCCCAAGAGGATGCTTCTCTGATCACAACAATCTTAACAACTTCATTGCTAGCGTCAACCGTTATCGATCACACGTATTCTCATAATTAGAATTTACTTACTCCTCTTACCTCCATGCAACAGTCGCATTAACTAACCCTCTACCTTGAGGGATTCTTGGGCCTGGTATTGTTTTGTATTCAATCTCCTTCAAAGAAACCAGGTCCAGGGTTGACCTGTGAGATGACCTTCTAACCGAAAGTGGACATCCAATATTCACCAGCTGTCTGTGTCGGCCAGAACACATCGACGCCTGATTGCCCCAGCTGCTCTAGATTTTGCGTTTTCGAGAGGAGTGTGGGCCGCAAGCACCCGCTGGTCGACAGTAATTTGAAAATCTTGAGTGGAATATAATATAATGCTTTCGTGTTTTCATTAGTCATCTACGCCATAAGTTTCTGGCGTATATTGGGAAAAAAAGTAATTTTTATATTTATTGTAACATCGCCATATTTCTTGGCTAAGGTTTTCATCACGTAGATAACACAATGAATGGCAGGATTCGTATAAACATCGCCCAATCAAAATCAGTTACACTTGCAGTCGAAATCTTATATAAAAAAATATAACTGCTACGGGTGAGTGGTTATTGTAAAAGGTATCGAAGCGGAAAGTGTAAATGGCATGCCGAGTTCAAATTCTTGCGTCGTCTGTTTCATTCAAGTAATATGGTCTTGTAAAACGAATAAATCAATTTTTCTCGATCCATGTATTAAATTTACTCTGTGACCTTTGCTGGCTGTCAGTCTAGATTGATTGATTTGTTTTTTTACGGTTTATCAATCTTTTCTTGTTATTTAAAAGCAGAAAATAACTTTACATCATAAGACTCTTTTGTCGATAATAATGACTTATTGAGACAAATCTAATTATCCCATAGCTGGGGGAGAAGAGGTGGATTCGGAGCTTTCCGAAGTGGTCACTCATCTAGGTACAGACCAGGCTCGCTGTTTCTTAACTTCGGTGATCGTATATCTTTTCTTTTTATATGCAATGTTCTATCAGGTTGTAGGCGATCATGGCTCTCCACTTCCTTCTATACCTTTCAGCTCTCAACAAGTTCCTTCCCTCTTCCTACCTCTCCCAACCCACGTTCTGTCATCCACTTAAAGCCCGCAGGGTGTCTCACGCGTTGTTTTCCCCGGTCTCTCTCTCTCTCCCTCTATTCGAGCTGTGAGTATCAGATTCTCCAGGCCCTCCTTCCTCATTATGTGTCCCGGAAACTTCAGCTACCTCTTCCTGATGTTAAGTATAAGCCTCCTCCTTGTTCTCCAATAATAGTGGAAAGGCTTAATTAAAAACCCACCCAAAAATGATATGGATTAAAACTAGTAACAAAATAATAATAATCTAAATGATCCATCTAAATATATACCGTAATATGATATATTACATCTAGAATGCATTATGTAACATAATATGATATATTACATCTACAATGCATTATATAACATAATATGATATATTACATCTACAATGCATTATATAACATAATATGATATATTACATCTAGAATGCATTATATAACATAATATGATATGTTACATCTAGAATGCAGGAAGGAAAGTTTAAGATGTAAATTACAAATTGAGAATAACAAAATCATGAGAATACGAAAATTTAAATATCTAGGGAAGTATTTTAACAGAGGTCGAAATCTGTGACACCGAAATCCGAAGATAGAATGTGCCTTGAAAATACACAATAAATATTAAGAAACACGAAAGGTTTCGTCGCGATGAAAGAAAGTAAATCTATAAAACAATTATATAAGTCCTCCTTTATAGCAATGAATTTTAGAAGATCTTAAAAATTAAAAATAAATTTAAACCAACACAGACGTGGTTATACATGTGGCTGCTGCGAATACCATGGACTGAACATGTGTCACGAGGAATTTTTAAGAAATTGAAAATAAAAAAAATGATTTTAATTAACATAAGAGCCAACAGAAATTTCTCGAACAAATAAAGAAGAAAGATGGCTTACAGAATTTTAGCCTCAGGGGTCATATAGAAGGCCAGAGTGTCTAAGGAAAGCAACGTACCTAATAAGATTTTGTAAGTGGATATGACAGAACAGGTGAGTGATACGAAAAAGATAAACGTTAATAGGA